AGGATTAATATTATGTCTGTTCAAATATCACTTCAAAGGTTTACATAGAAAAATTAATCAAACTAAGTAATATCACTTGGCCAAAAGAGACAACTGTACATTATTAAGAAAAAGACTGCCAATAATATGTATTTTATACCAAGCAATTTAGAACTTCAAATACCTTAAAAGTGGATGCTATCAAGGCATCTTTGGGGAGGCTCTCAAAAATTTCTGAAAGTGAAAGCCTCAGACCACACTCAAAGCCAGGCTTACATTTATCAAATTTCTGTATCTTTGAAAACTTCAATCTTTAATATTCTTTTCATTCTCACCAAAAATTATTATTTAGCAATTCATATGAAAAATAAACAGTATATGTTCATTACACATCTGATGCTTCTATCATTCATGAGTTAACTATTCGTACACGAATTAAACAAATCAATACCATATGTAGTAAAATGACACCACTTTTCTCTTTGTATTTGTCTAGTTCTTTTTCAGCTTGCCTTGTTCCCATGAAATTCTGCTAAGCCGAATGCCTGTGACCTATAAATAGAGGCAAGATTTAGATCACAGGTTAAATTCCAACATTTATCTTCTTTAAGTTGAAATATTAACACAAACTTATCATTTAAATGTAAGCCATGCACTCAGGTTATAATCAAGATAGTCAAAAGAAAAATTTTCAAGTTGATAACCCTTTTCCAAACTCATTGAGATCCAAATTGTCACAGAGACTCGGAACAAACTATCAATGCATACTAACAAGACTCTTGATCAAACATACCACTCAAAATCAATCATTGATTGTTTTACCAGCCTCAAAACGAGATGACCAAACATATACCTATTATGAAATTACTACATTCTATAAGAATATGTCGATAGGCAAATTAGGGAAGTTATAAGAGCTAATTCCAATAACTTATATATTCAATAAAGGGAATTTTTAGAGTGACACTCGGAAAGTTGGGGCAATTTTACAAAGAAAAAAAGCTTACATCTTCCATTTTCCAATAACCATAATTTAGATATATTGGAAAAATGTAAAATGTTTCCAGCCAAAAGTGGATGTGCAAACCTCGTAAGTTTCAAAAAATATGCATCATGCTTAGGAAGGCCTTTTTTGAAAAGAAAACAGATTTGTGAAGGGGCTTTTGAAACTTTGCACTCGTCTTCACGCCTGCGAACTTTGTGCATGTGCACACGCACAGACATAGAAGCATTTCAAGAAAGAACACAGATGTAGTGCAAGAGAACAAGAAGGCTGCTGCGAGCCGATTCAGAGTCGATCGGGTACCTTATCAGTGACACGGAAGCTATGGGTATAATTATGAACGTACCTTTATGAGCGCAAAGTACGCGTACTCGGTTGTAGATGTCTCAAGTGGAACTTCGCTACAGCGAACCCCCTGGTGGGCTGGACAACTTTTGCTAGTTAGTTGTACAGGTGAAAGATTATACACTGGCTTGGAAGGCCAAGCTGATGAATGTTTTTTCGTGACAGTGCTTAAAGACTTTTAAATCATAAACCAATTTATAGACAAAATGAAACAAAACCCCGATATCATCCTCTAAGAAATTCCTCCTTTCTTTTGCCAGGTAATTACAGAAGGGTTACGGATAGCTGCATATTCAGTTGTATGAGTTAAGTGTGATCGGTGATAAAGGTTCCTCAAGTATATTCAACACCTATATACTTGCGCGCATTCGTTCGCATTTTTCTCAGATTGAGGTGCTGGCTCGAATCTCATAAGAGACTCAGCCAAGCCAACTGGCAAGTTCCTATCCAAGTTCGCCTCTAAAGAGACGATTATGTGTTTCTAAATCATAAATTCCACTTTTGATCAAGAGAAGAACCTGAAACAAAGTTCTGGAGCTATGAGAGAAAGTTTATTATTGTGTACAATTAAAAACTTGGATACTTGTTATTGTTTTTAGATATAAAATATCTTCTACTAACTCAAAATGAATATACATTTTGCACTTCAAAATAAAAACATTTGTATGGGCTATGGCAGTGATTTGGGTGCACGCAGTCGCACTGGCGCCTCATTGTGTTCGTTTGAGATCGGACGATTATATTTTGTTGAGATTACCGTTTGTAGAAGGATTCTTGCGGGAAGCACAAACAGGATCTCAAGAATGAATTAGCAGTAGTACTCTGCAAGTCGTTAGTGGCTACGTTCGAAATATTTTTTGAGATTTCGCAATGATGTTCTATATGCTGAATCTTTTTCCATAATCTAAGTAATTATACGATAGTTAAAGAAAGCCCACCACCCAAGAATCACCACGTTCAGTTTAGTTTTGTGATTTTATGCTGTAATTTTTTCAGAAGAGATGAATACATTTCTGCTTTTTTATGATAGAGGCAGAGTGCTTCATTGTAGAGACCGTTCTTTTATTTTCAGCTTTGCATCTGAATTGCTCATAAATTTCTCTAACAGAAATCAAAGGACAAATTAATAGGCAATCTGCCTCAATGATTGGTAAATATGCAACAATAAGTCTTCCTGTCTAACGAATAAGGGTTACGAAATCTTGCTTTGCTAGCCTAGCGTGCAGGGTAGTTGGACACAGTTTGAAACTGTGAGCTGAAAGAAGGCCTTTTGGGAATTGTGCACGAGATTGTAATGTATTGGTAGATACATATCACGGGCGTGGTGGATATACATGGGAGCATACTTGGTCTGTTGACTGATGTCTGGTTGCTACGGATATTGCACAGCTTCACTACAATGTGGGAACGACAGCCATTTTTGAAAGACAAGACCTGTTGGATTATCGTGTTTAATTCGGTTTAATTACTCGATCGAAGGCTTCAATGGTGCAGAGATTTCACTCCCATGAAAGATATAAGTTGGAAAGATTGGGGTACAGAGTGCCTTAAAGGTGAGTAAATTGTATAAGTAAGCCATTTAGGATTCATTCTTTATACGAACTAAAAATTATTAATACGTTTTTACATAATATGTATCAAGTAAAATGAATGACAGGAAAAACTAAACGTTTTGTAAACAAAATGTATTAATATGCCCAGTAATACTGTGTAAGATCTGACATGTCAAAGGATGTATTCTCATTTGAATTGTAATGTTCAATCAAGTCTAATCATTGATCAGAGTGGCATCTACCAGCACTGTTTATCCATTCAACTTTTATATTCATTATTTCTTGCAATCTGGAGATTATAGCGGATACTTGCGGTCCTGCTAGTATCTGATGTAGATGTAAAATGCGTGAATTGGCAGTATTTCGCCGTATTAAACCGTTCAAAAATAGTAATCTCGATATATTAAATTTATAGCACTCAGCTGATCCTAATTCGCCAGTCGAAAAACGATTTGAATAAAAAATAGTTTAGCATTAGTTGTTAACATAATTCTTTTCTCGATAAACAGCAGTGGAGACAAGGCTTAGATACAAAGGAGAGAAATTTTCCTGTGAACGGCTAGGTAAGCATGGAATAGCAGGAAACCTCTAGCTTTGAACGAACTACAAATGAAACATCAGCCTCCTTGTGATCAGCAAAAACGAAACTATGTACTTGTTTAACCTAAAAGATAAAACAATCAACTTAAATCAAATAACAAATAACATGAGTACTTTTTTCGCTATCGAGGTCGTCTGTACTGCTCTCCATTCTTTTTGCCGAAGATTTGTGTCTATTAAGGTGGCCATCGTCGATCGTCTATCCGAAGCGATTGTGCCCTGTGCGGAGCAGTATGAAAATATCCGAATAAAATCATTAAAATCAGAAGCGCAAAGAACGCTGCCTTTTGCAAGTAATTTAAGAAAGACATCATTATTAACGGTGGGGTGGGGTGGAAATGAATATTGAGGGTTCCGATGCGTAAGAATTCTTACTCCCTTCA